TGGAGATTTTTTTTTTTGGTCAAATAGATATCTTGAATATGTAATCAGTGCTCATTTACTCTTCTTATACCTTAAGCACTAATATTGTTAATCTTATTTAGGTGAAGAACCTGCGGTCGGGTGTGTCCAGGGTTGCCGTGTGTACCCTGGGTGACCTGTACACACACCTTCAGCGAGCGATGGACCAGGAGCTAGAGGGGACAGTTAAAGCTTTACTGCAGAAGGCTGGGGAGAGTAATGCCTTCATTAGGCAGGATGTAGATGCAGCACTGGATTGCATGGTGCAGCACTGCACCCCTACTCGAAGCATCAATGCTTTACTTACTGGAGGACTCAGGTTAGATTACACACAGGACAGCTCTTTGTTGTTTGTTTGCTTCTTCTCTGTTTGGATCACTACATAATTTAAGCTTTGATTGCTGAATTGATTTCCTCCTCTGCTGATAGTCACCTTAATGCAGTGGTGAGGAAATGTATGGCTCAACATCTGGCTAATTTGGTTGAGAAGGTTGGTGCTGCACGTCTCCTTTCTGGGGCTAAAGACCTCACTGACAGAATTTTACCTGCCGTGGTCAAACTCGCACAAGACTCCTCACAAGAAGTTAGGTATGTAAAAAAACAAAACAAAAAACTTTCATATTAATTCATTTAATTTTTGTGTTTTAACTTCTTTACAACATATTTGCTTGAACGGTGAGATTATATTTTTATGTATTGCCAATGAAAAGCATTCAGCAATAACAGATAACAGTGGGAGGAAAATGTCAAATTTGAGACATTTTAAAAGTCTTTAGACCATCAAAAGGATATGGTACAATCCAAATCTACTTTTGGTTTTGCTGGAATTGATTTGTTATTGTTGACACTATTTCTTTTGGTGTCACTGTACTGTAATTACCTTGCATTTCATTAAAATATGTTTAGAAATGCTTTTCTGTTGCTTTTTGGACTGCAAATCCAAAGTGCCACTTTAACAAATGAGATAATATTACACCTTCTCCCCTCAAAGGTACTTTGGCCGTCGAATGCTGCTGTCCCTGTCTTCCCACCCAGAATTTGAAAAGATCCTGGAGAAATACATCCCTACGAAAGACCTGCAGACTGTCAGAGACACCATCTTCACTCTAAAGACAAAGGTACTGTTTCTTTCTGTTTATGTTTACAGGAAAATTGGTATTTTGGCTGGAAGTTAAATATAGGCATCTAACTCTGAGATTGTTTGGGGGGGGGTTAGGGTCTTGGTGAGATGCCTCAAGATACTCAGTCAGCCCGAGGCAGACGTTCCCTCCCGGGCAGCGGTACAGTCAGAGCCTCATCGCTCAACAGAGAGCCACTCAACCAGACCAACAGGTGGGTGTAGATATCAACCAATGCACCAGAGTAGCCCATTAAGGCAAATTTATTTTTCACAAATGTGTATTACATATGGAAAACACGTGAATTGTGATGCATTTTATATACAGGGAGTCTCACAGCCATTACAGCTGTAGATCTCAGACACAGAGTTTTGCAGACAAGACTGAGTACATCAAGCAGATCTCGGATCTGCTGGCTTCAAAGGACTTCAGAGAGAGGATCAAAGGCATCGACCAGCTAGTGGCTGACTGCCAAAACAACCCAAACATGGTTATCAACAGTATATTCCCGGTTAGTAATTTTTTTTTTTCTCCAAATCAATTTAGTATGTCTTTATGTACATTGTGGTCTTTTCATTATAATGACAAAGTGTTTATCCTTCACTTTCTGATCTCCCTAATTCTAGGTGTTTGATGCCTTCAGAGCCAGGCTGCAGGAGTCCAACAGCAAGGTCAACTTGTATGCCCTGGAGTCTTTACAGAAAATCATCCACTTGTTAAAGGACAAGCTGTCCCAAGTGGTCAACATCCTGGTCCCAGCAATCGTGGACAATCACCTCAACTCAAAGAGCAATGCCATCTGCTCTGCTGCTATTGGAGCTATTAATGCACTCATCTTAAATATAGGTACTTACTTTGAGCATTAAAATAGAAGAGAAAGTTTTGGTTAAAAAAATTGCTTTAATTTGACTTTCATTTTTTTGCCTGCTACAGACAACATACTTCTCCTTCAGCCTTTTTGCGCCAAGGCTCAGTTTTTAAGCGGGAAGGCAAAGGTGAACCTTATCGAAAAGGTCGCAGGTATGTCTGGTGTCCTAGTTCGGCACTGTAATCAGCTTCTGCTTTGATGTATCTAAATGCAGTGTATTGCTTCTCATCTTCTATATTTAGATCTTGTGACAGAACTCTACCCTCGTAAGCCCCAGATGGTAGAGCAGAAAGTGCTGCCCTTGCTCTGGCACCTCTTGGGCACCTCTACCCACAGCGGCACCATTCATGGCCGGGGCGGCAGCGTAAGGGGTGCTACCGCCAACCTGTGCCAAGCCCTTTATGCCCAGATGGGGCCAAGCCTGAGCGAGTGTGCCGCCTCCCAGCCTGCCAATGTCCATAAAAGTCTAAATGATATCCTGAGGACCTTATCGTAAGGTAAAGCAGGCTCCAAACAGAACCAAATGTCGAAAGAGGGACAGCATTAAAACTGATCTTACTTGAAGATGTTGCATTATCATTTCTTATAGTGCCTGCACTTTTATATAAACACAGAGAAAGTCCTTAAGAAGTTGGAGCTCTTATTCTTATCTCAGTGAGATTCCGTCTGGTACAGAAGCATGGATGGCTGTAACATAATGGCATCAGGTCTTTCACATGTCCAACCTGCTCTCTTTGCACTTTGAAAGTAGCTCATTGTCGTTGTTTTGTTTTTGTTTTTCCATAAACTCTACATGTACTGTAGATCAGCGGTCTCCAACCTGTTTTGCGCCACGGACCAGTTTATGCCCGACAATATTTTCACGGACCGGCCTTTAAGGTGTCGCGGATAAATAAAACAAAATAAAACTAGTACCGGTACCGAAAAAAGAAGATTTATTCATAACACACCTGAAAAGACCCTGGAAAACAGAGTTAACGATAAAAACGATAACAAAATGACGCTGAAAACCGATAAAAACCCTGAAAACCAGACATTTCACACCTGAGCCTCAACTCTCGCGGCCCGGTACCAAACGACTCACGGACTGGTCCGAGGCCCGGGGGTTGGGGACCGCTGCTGTAGATAAATCAGAGACACTATTGCAGAATGTAAAATTAAAATGCACAAAAAGAAGAGGAAGAACACAGGGACCCGAAAGTTGTATATTTTTGCTGTTTCATCAGATGTGATGTGATATTTTTAAAATATCTTTATGTAGTTGGAGATTTTTGAACTGAGATTAACAAGCATAGTACAAAAATACTTTTGTACAGCTCTAATGTGTATTTGCACAGTATTAGCTTATTCTATATGTTTGCTGTATGACAGTACAGT